CGCCGCCCCCCTGCGCATTCCTCTGCCTACATTTGCTCTCCTGCTCCTACACCTGCTCCTCTCTTCATCCGGCTGCTGCTGATCCTCAGTCCAGCACCAGCTCGCCTTCCCTCCCCCTCCCTAGCATGCGTCTCGTCCTCTCACCGAGGTATGCTTTCGTTGCAACGTTGTAGAGTTTGTCCTGTCGCAGCAGCTGGTCGTTGACGGTGACAGTGTCCACTAGAGGGAGAGAAGTCAGAAAGGGAAGGAGGAGGAGGAGGAGGAGGAGGAGGAGGAGAATTTGAATAAAGCATATGGAAAATAAAATGATGATGATGATGATGATGATGATGATGATGATGATGGCATGGTTACAACAGATACGGAAATGACACTCTTGCCTATAATTCTTCTTCCAGCAGGCATGTCGGGGTCGAACTCAAAACGAACTCCAGACACACACGGAAATCTACAACATGATCAGAGTTTCAGCAGATTCCTTTCTGCCTCTTCTCAATCTTACCTTCCTTCCAATTTTGGATACATACAAACACCATTCTGCAAGTTGAAAGTCAATATTTCACCCTCCTATCCCTTGACTCTCCTCTCCTCTCCCACTCCTCTGCTCTCCCCCGTGCCACCTCCTCCTTCGATTCCCATCACCTCAAGCGCTTCCAGCAGCTGCGCTCCCGTCAACTGAATGACGCAGAGCTCGTCGAGCATCGGGAGAAGCGTTACAAGGTCCTGCCATGTGGGTGAGGAATAGCAGGAGACTTGCGGAAGGGAGGAGGAGGAAAGAGAGGGAAGGGAAAGATTGAGGAGCAGCGAAGGAGGAGTTACCTTCATCAGGAAAGGGCCAGGAGGAAAGATATCGTCAGCCCGCAAAGTTCCTGAGTTGATCAGGACGACGTCGACCTGGAGATGGGTGAGGAAGGAGCCGGGGGAATGGACAAGAAGACAAGTGAAGAGGGAGGGAGGAGGGAGGAAGATCAAGAGGAACAGGAAGGAGGAAGGCGGTGGGGGGGAGGAGGAGAAGGTTTGTGTGATAGTGTGAGAGGAGAGGAGAGAAGTCTACATGGATGCCGTTGTTCTCTATCCCATCACGTACACAATCTGCGATCCAGTTGCCAGCGTTGGTTTCCCTGGCAGAACATGAGCGGGGAAGGCGAGTTCAAAGGGGAGCGAGAGCAGGCTCGGTGAGAAAGAGAAGCCGGAGGCAGGGATGGGAGGCGAGGATGGAAGAAGGACAGGATAGAGGAGAGATGTAGGATAGAGGAAGTATGATGATGGAGATGATGATGATGCAGATGATGTAAATGCAGAGGAGGAGGATGCAGAGGAGAATGCAGCAGCATCAGCATCAGCATCAGCAGAGGAGGAGGAGGAGGATGTAGAGGATGAGAGGGAGGAGGAGGAGGAGGAGGAGGAGGAGAAGGTGCATCTTCAATTTGGACCTTGTTCGGATGTGAGCAAAGGTTGCGTCGATGGAGCACCCGAGCTCCCCAAGAATCTAAGAAAGAAGATGGTGAGAACTGCAGAGGGCGGACGAGGAAGCGATGAACGTGCAGGGTGACAGGTCGCTTCCATCCCCCCCTCATTCCTTCCTTCCTGTCCCACCCC